AAAAGCAGTAAATAGGGGAAACTTAAGTCTGGATTGAGACAGATAGGAATCAAGGGACATGTTAAGTTTTTTTTTATATCTTTGAAATTCAAAACTTGAAAGACTATGATTCTACACTTCTAATAAATAGTTTTCAGTGAAGTTAATTTTTAGTGGTCAACAGTCATCATGTAACTGAAAGAGTATGTGCTGCAAATTTCAAGGTATGAATCTCAGCTTCAGGTGTAGCTCTACAATTTACTTATAAATAATATGTACACCATTAGCGCCTCCACTATATTTTGACAGTAAATTCTGATCAAGTAGAAAGTAAACTTTGGCAGTAAAACAGAAAACTAATTTTTAAAAGAGGAAAACTACTGGAGCTATAATGTTTTTGCTGAACAACTGTGTATCAATAACATTATTGGCTATATTGTTGATTAGTTAGCCTAACATTATTATATGTGCTTTCTGCAGCAACAGCATTTAATCGAGTTGATTCGCCAGCGTGAGACAGAGGCAGCTTTGGAATTTGCCCAGACCCAGCTTGCTGAGCAGGGAGAGGAGAGTCGGGAGTGTCTGACTGAGATGGAACGTACACTGGCTCTACTAGCTTTTGATAATCCAGAAGAATCGCCGTTTGGGGATCTGCTTAATATGATGCAGAGGCAAAAGGTAATAACTTCAATTCTGTGTTGAATCATTTAAATATTCTTAATAAAAAGGTTGGTTAACTATATATTCTCGGAAATATTTGTTAATTTTACAAATGTCCTTCTGTGCAATTAAAATGTCTGGTAAAACTTGCCATAAAACTGTCACATTGCACGTTGGACTCGAGTGGAGCTATGTTATTCTGCATATAATAACCTTTAAATTAATTGAAAACTGTATTTGTGAAAATCTGTTAAATCTTGTGCAAGAACTGTTTGATGTCACCATCAATGACACTTTCTAAACGTGATGAGAGTAGACTAATATGGTGGTAATTGGTTGGATCTGTCCAACTTTTTATAGAATGGCATAACTGAGCATATGCTGTTTGTACAACATTATTTGCTAAATAATCATCTGTACTAAGAATTACACTTGCAACCACTTTGCCAGTTGAATCTGGCTGTCGTGTGGTGCATTTGCCTGTACTAAAGTCTAAATATATTATCGTGCGGCACATTACTGTTCATGGACAGAATATGTATACACGTTGTATCTGTTTAATCTTAACAAAATAGGTGACCGCCATTCTGTTTCATTCCTTGGGACAGTGCCTTGACCAATCAGGCAACTTGCTTGGTTTAAATTTTAACAAAGCTTGACAGTTAACTATCAGTCACCATCTAATTGTTGCATTCTCCATAGCACTCCTCTACCAATCAGAATCCATGTTCCAACCAGTTAGTGCTTTATTTTGTCATTTTGTACGGTATGAAAATAAAGCAAAGAAGTGCAAATCCTGGAAATCTGAAAGAAATTGCTGGAGAAGCTCAGCAGTCTGGAGAAGGCTGACTGGACTCGATGTTTACTGCTTTCTCTCCACATATACTGCCAAACCTGCTGAGTTTCTCCAGCAGTTTCTATTTTTGTTTCAGCATAAAATGTTTTTCCCTTTACATTGGTATTCTTGCAAGTTTCCTGATGAGTGCAAGACAAAGTAGTTCAACAGTGTCTTTTTTTTCCCAATAAGACTCTAGTTTTGTGCCACCAATTAAGTATTTGAAAATTCAACATTTTTATTTATGAATTAATATAAAAATGCTAACTTATTTTGCCAGTAAAATGTGGCCTTGAGTAGAAAGCTTCTGGTATCCAGTTGTGTGTCTTACATGACACTGAATTTGAATGTTGAAATTAATGGACTACAGTCTCTTTTTTTTTAAAATCTAGGTTTGGAGTGAGGTGAATCAGGCAATTTTGGATTATGAGAATCGTGAATCAACACCTAAGCTAGCCAAACTGCTGAAACTTCTATTATGGGCACAGAATGAGCTGGACCACAAGAAAGTTAAATATCCTAAGATGACAGACCTCAGTAAGGGAACAATTGAGGAACCCAAGTAAAGGCGATATGGTGGGACTGAACAGGATTATGAAGCAGCTTGCTGTACATTTACTGATTACAGTATATGAGAGAGAACTATAATAAGGTCACTAATAAATGACAGAACATGTGAATATGACTTTATGGGTAAGAATAATCACATTTAAGGCTGGGATGAAATCCAAAGCATCACCAACACATTACATGGGAATGCCATCAAATGGCTGCTGAAGGGTCAAGAGAGTGCAAGATTCACCCCAGTCCTAAATTCATTTTTATGGTAATTTATAACTTTACCAACTTCACACGTTGGACTGAAAATACTGAGTATTTACGTTTGGTTGCTGTATAGGGTTTCTATTCACACTTTCTTTGCTTCATATGCCAATGGTTCCTAAGTGTATGTTTATATATTTTCAAACCAACTTTGCTAAATATCTGCCTGTTCGCGATTAATATCCATATTACATCTGAAACTGACCTCATAATTTATTTCTTTTGAAATATCCTTAGTGTCTTTGTTCTTAATATAGTATCTTTCTTCTATTAAAATGATTTGGAGCTGGTTGTGGATGTAACATGGATACTAAGAATGTAATTAGTACAAACTAACTTTTCATTTTACATTTTCACAGTCTCATTAAAATTTTTCCACTGTTTGAGAAGAAGTTCAAATGTTTGTTAATTTTCATAAAGTAGCCATGCTATCAAACTAAAATTCACAAGCTTGTAAGTCATATTATTTAATCTCAAGGTTTTGTATATTTTGTAGCAATGAGTCATTTCAATATGAGTTGTTTGTATATAATGCAATTCCTTGCAGAAATGAGTAGTTTGATTTCCCAATACACAAGTGCTTTACGCTTTGAAATTCATCCATTGTGCTTTTAAACCCTTCTTTTGTGTGTGCATTGCGTGTCTTGAGCTTATTGATATGTTCTGTTTTTAAAAACAAAACCTAAGATGTTAATTTATCATTGCGTATATCAGCGAATACTTTGAGAGTGTACAATGGAAAGACATTGACAACTATTTTAATTAGTTTTATAGGTAAGGAATGCAGATTGTGTGTGTTAGGTATTTTTCAGACAAAATAGTTGATGGTACTTATTTAATTTTGCAGAACTTTTTATTGTTAGTTTAGAAGAAAAACTCCACATGCCATCATCTGTCTTGTAAATATTCCCTATATTGATTTTAAACATGTAACTGAAGTATAGATGAATATTGATCCAAGACTAATGAGATCGATTTTACAGAAATAGATGCAGATGTTCATTATTAAACAAAAAAAACAAACCTGCGGATGTTGGAAATCAGAAACAAAAACAGAAATTCTGTTTTTGTTTTAAATGTTCACTACTTCTCCCCTACCCCCTCCACCCACCACACTTGTTTTTAAGGTTTGCTCATAATCAATTTAATACTTTAGGGGCTTATACTCGGGAAGCTTGCCACGGCACTGAGAATGCTTTGTATCTTGGATATATCTTCTAAACCCTGTTATAAATTTTTAAGATTCTGTAGCGAAGCCATTGAAGTTGATTTTATGGAAAATAGTCCCCTTCTGAGTAGTTTTAATACTTTTCTCAGCAAACGTACATTATCTTTTCAATCTAAAATTTGTACCATTTATCTGTTTCAGTTACCCGAAATGCATATCTAAGGGATAAACCATTATATAGGCGGTTTGACTGTACACCCAGTTATGCTACCTTTATAGTAATGCTGTCTTGCCTCTCAATTCATCTGATAGATATGAACGTCTTTTTAGTGAATTCAGCAGCACCGTGCTAATTTTTTTAGCTTCCTGAGAAAATTGAGCATGCTCCCAGAGATTACAGTTTCAAAATGCCACAACCTGAACTAATTAACAACTTACTCTTACAAATGGTGAGGCCTTCTAATAGTTTGCAGATTAAGACAGCTACTGTACAATTAAATAAAAGTACAAGATGATTAAATGTTAAAAATACAAAAATGTGAAAACCCATAATTAGCAATTTATCCATTGTAAAAACTATTTGGATAACTAATGGAAAAATTCAAAAATCTGGCTTCTAAGCAACTCTTGTTTAAGATGGTGTCATGCAGTGTATTGTCTTGAGCAGTGTGTAGACTGGAAGGTTTTTTTTTTGCTTGAGTACATACCAGAATGCTGAGGAATACACAAGACCAGAAGGACAATTATGATTCATTGACCTAAACATAAAGTTAATGAGTGTCTTTTAAGTCCCTCTCTCTGCAGCCAAAAATAATATATCTGGCTTCTTGAATGTGCTAAAACTTTGTATCTGCTGTCTTCGTGGAAAGCTTTTCTATATTTTGATCAATCTTCCCACAAAAATCATTTTAACCTTGTTCATAACTTATCTTTAAATCATTAACATGCGTTTTTCCTACCATTTACTTCAGTTTTTATTCTCATGCTCTCTTTCATTTTAAAATTCTTTTAAAAATGCATTTAAATCTTTTTTCTTTTTGTTATTCCCAGTTTTCATGAAGAAAATAACATGAGAGGGAACTTAGCATTGTATAAAATAGAAATAAAATTATGGTAAATCCAGAACACTACTGCAATACAATATACAAGAATTGGTGAAAAGACAAGTTGTGACTGAGGTCAGAAGGAATTTGTCATATTAATGAATCATTCCCACTTGGATTGTTCTAGCTAGAGAGATGGAGACAAAAGATTTTAAATTCATTAGATAAATGATGAAGGGCAGAAACATATTTTTTTTAAAAAGAATGTGGATGAATGAACTTGGTACTCTATGTGAATTAGATTGGTCACTGGGGAGAAAGATAGTGCTACGAAACATTGTACGTTGCAGAATATTATTTTTAACGTACAATTTTGAATGATTAGAAACATCTTTAGAATTAACTGAAAAGGTTATATTCTTTCCTCAAAAACAGGAGTGTTGACATTATTTTGGTGGCAAAACCTTCCATGAATGCTTAAGGTTAATTATTAATAAATAAGAGTCTAAAATTTACTTAATTTCCTTTTAGATTTCATAGTTTGTCATTTGGATATAACAATTTACAAATAAAAGTTTTGTTTATGTTTGATCAGTATTCTTAAAAATTCTTCAGTTCTTTCACATTCTAATGCATTGTTATGGTGTAAATTTCTTTAACTTTTAGCAGAACTACATACCTTGATTTCAGCATTACATACCAATGGTTTAGATGTTAAGGGCATGATTAAGTTTGAAGATGATTCAAAACTTGTGCCTGTGGTTGTTGGGCGGGTGGGGACAGGGGAGGGATGGGGGTGGTGCGGGATGGTTGGTAAGAGAGAAAAGGCAGAAGCCTGTAGGAAGATATTCAGAAGACTGATCAGTTGGGTAGGATGTGATATGTACAATTCTGTTCAGAGATGGGCGAGATCAAACCAGGCAAGCCAAGAATACTGAGAAGTGTAGAGAAACAGAAGGATCTTTGAGTGTCTATCTGCAACTCTGTGAATATACCAGGTCAAGGACAATAAGATGATTAAGAACACATAGCAGTAATTTCTTTTACATGCTGAGGCAGAGAAAGTGAGAGTAGAAAGTTTGCTAGAATTTCAGATGCAGTTTAGGCCACAGCGAGAATATGGTGTACATTTCTGATTGCCATGTGATTGAATTAGAAAATGCACTGAAGAGACTTAAGAACATGTTGCCAGGACTGCTGAGGAAAGCTTAGATAGGCAAAAGTTGTTCTCTTCGGAACTGAGAGAATTGTAGGGTGATTTAATTGAGGTCTCTAATAAGAACCCATTTTTCCTTAACTGTTAAGTTATTGATTATGAGAAGTCAGTAGAAAGATGAAAGGGGAGTTGAGTTTTTCACCAAGAGTACAGTGGGAGACTAGAACTCCCTGAAAGAGTGGGAGAGGAAGAAAGTCTGAAATGTATTCAAAATGTACTTGGAGATTAGCAATCCACAATATCATGGACCAAAAGCTATATTAGGGTGCGTATCTGTTTATGGCTAGCACAAGGACCTAACTGACTTCCCTCTATTCCGTTGATGTCCATAATGATTAAAATCAAGCTGCCTGAGTTTAACTTTTGTAAATGGCTGTGTGGGCTAGTGAAGGATCCTAAATAGGGCACACTTGCCCTGCTGATTGGCTAATTTTGAGTAGAATTCCATCAACAGCTAGTAAGTTCTTAATATGTTTATAATGGACTGAAATTCATGATCAGTATCACGGCAATGACACTCCTAATTGACCTCGCAGAACAATGCTCAGAAAGACACAATAATCGTTCGGAATTAGTTTCCACTTTCCTGATGTTAACCGAGTCAGTGGCATTTCCAGCCATCCAATGATGACAATATCATCAAGCAGGGCAAACAGCTAATTTCACTGAAGTATTAACACAGATAACAAACCAAAACCCACTTGCTTAGATTTTCCAGATGGCAAAATATTAGGAAATGCACATTTATATAAAGGTAGAAGCCAAAATAGCAACTGAAATTTAAAACCATGGAGAAACTTGGCACTCAACAAATATAAAATCAGCCCTTTAGGGCCTGCTTAAGCAGCAATCATGAACTACAAAGTAATTTAAAATCCCTCAATTTAATTTAAAATTTAATAAAATCTCATTCAACAAGAAGTTTTTCAAGTGCCTTTAGATATTTTTTGATCAACCTGTTCTGAGACATTATGACAGACATTTGGAGGTGGTGGGACTGGACCCATGCCTCCTAGTCCTGAGGTAGAGACATTATCATTGTCACAGTAGTCCTTCAAGTGCTTTTACAATTAACCTAATAATGGATGCACTTGTCAATGATTTCTAACTGATTGCTTTATGGGGTTCCACATAATGCAGCCTATACAGAAGTGTAGAAACACTGACAACAACTTATTGATTTTCACATGTAATTCTGTCTATACAGGCAGCAGAAATTACTGTTGATTTAAGATGAGTAATTAGAATGAATACTAACAGTTTCATCATTCTTGCTGCTAGTATCCAGGCCATTGGTTTTGGCTGCTTTAGACATATCCTTAATTTGTTTAAAATGTAGACCCTAAGAATTTTGCAGTGGGGCCGTCACTTTTATTCAACTTTTATACATTGGACTCATACAGTTCTGCTGTTAAAATAGTATGTTTTACATCCATATTACAGCTGAAAATGCATGCAAGGCAAACCATGTTTTATCCCCAGGAGTAATAGTTTACTTGGCAACGGTAGGAGCCTACTAAAGTGAAAAAAATGGTCAGCCTTGTCTGGGAAATGGAAAAGCACAAAGATTTTCCAATCTATAAAATTCCTGTACTAAAGAGGAAAATGACCGAAGGCTGTCTTTATGATAATAATGAATTCTGATGGTCTTAAAGCCATGCTATTCCACATTAGCTGCAGAATACTTGCTTAATAATGTACCAGTGTCTATAAAATTAGTAATCCATGTATGAAGTGAGCTTGGCAGATTGGCTTTTATATATAAAAGCCTTGGAAAGAACTGTCATATTTCATGTGCCACAAATTCAAAATCTATCACACTTTAAACAAAAGAAAATCATTTTATGCACTCTATCTTATCTGTGGGGTGCAACAGGGGGACTACAAATCATTTATGGGCAAATTGCAAATAGATTTGTTTTCCTTACCCACTGCAACTGACTGAACAAATTGATACCTCATACTGCTGTTGTGTAAGTACACTTTCTAATGGAAAACCAGCTTCTTGCTAAGGGTATCAATTAGGAATCTGGTGTTTCTTAATGTACTGTAATGAACCATTCTGCATCTTCTTGACCAAAATAGCAGCAGCAGTATTTCCATATTACAAAAGATAATGCTTAAATAATATTTAAATTCAACTTATGCAGAACTTGCAAACTTGAATGGTGATACTTACAGAATTTTCTAACTATATTAATTTTCTATTGCTAATTACAGATATTTCTCAAGCTTGTAAAAATGTAAATACAATTACTATAACATAGTATTAAAAATAAAATCAATGACAACATTTCAAAGTGCAAAGTTTCATCATTTTCTTTTAAAAGCTAGTATATCTTAACAAAGTTTTGTCAGAAAATTGATTTCATTGTTTCATCCTTTCTTTTGGTTATTTAAAATAAAATTTTGATTACGTTCACTGTCCTGTGAAATTAGTTTACAATGGATCTTAATCCAGTGATTTATTGATCAGTGCACAGAGACAGTGGGGTTAATGAACAGCAAGTTCCAGTGCACAATAGTTCAAGTTTTGCTGAAAAATTTGGGCACTTTATTTTAACTTGTGTCTAGCTGAATGGATTAAGTATTAAACAGAAAGTATTGTTGGATCTTAGCCAGCAAATTTAGCTGTATTGCCAGGTGGCATTATAAAGTGTTGCCATTTCTCATCTCCATCCTGGGCACCTGAATACTCTATCTAAGTCAAATAAAATCAATAAACCAATATGTTTCCAACTCACCTCCAGCTACTGACAGATCAAAGCCTTAATTCCCTTCATAGCCCTGAAGTTTCCAGTGGTCTGTAATTTCATTCAGCTGTCATGTCACATTTTTTGATTCTGGTGTATTGTTTTAATTGCAAACCAGTTTCTTTGCTGGCTGTTGTTGGTACAAAGTCATTTTGCTGTGAATCTACTTCACCTTGTACTTAATTTCAAACTCAATGGTTCTTTTGGTCATACTATTCTTGCTATTTATTGATAGTTTGGATCTTTTATCAGACTACTTGTCAATGCCAATGTTTATGCTTCAAGCAAGCCTCTTCCCATCTTACCTCATCTCACTCCATCAGCATATTTTGTTTTGTCCTTCCTCAAGTAGAAACTGAGCTTCCCTGCTAGTAGACAACCCCTCAATTCTAGGGAAAAGAATATCTGTCTCTTTAGCATTACCTGATAAGTATATACTCAGTTATGGTGTCACCCATGAATATTTACTGCACATTCTCCTCTATCCCGTTTATAATATGGAGTTCAAAACTATGCAAAGTAATTTTAATGTGATCTAACATTTCCACTTTTTTCTGTCTATGAATAATCCACAGTGCTTGGCCTTTTTTTAAAATTATTATTAAACAGTATTGTTACTTTGTGCTTGTGCTAAAGGGAAAGACAAAAATAGTGAGTAAAACTTTTGAGCACCTGGAAGCTGTGTAGTCCATATATGGGTCCTTTTGTACAAGTGCATGGAGTATAAGGAACATTAAATAAACTTCAGGCATAACCTCAAACTGGCCGGAATGGCACAGTAGCCGTTATTAAGGTATGGCTGCAAAACTATTTGGTCTCAGAAATAAATATATCAGATTATAAATTTTACATGAAAATGTAGGTGGTTTGAACTGTCCTTTCTGAAATAAACCTAGTAAACTTGTAAGGAGCCCAGCAGAACCAAAAGCATACATTTTCAAGAACAAAAGTTAAATAGACTGAGGATCTTTTATACAGAACACAGATGGCTGAGGAATGACCTGATAAAGGTCTTTAAGATGATTAAGGATTGAAGTAGAGGAGATATATCAAAAATTTTCCTACTGTCAGGAAGTACAAAACTCAGTAATAAATACAAAATAGTCATAAGTACACTGGGGATTTCGAGAAGCTTTTTTAACCAAATAGCGTAAGAATGTGAATTATGTTGCCACATAATATTTATGATGTATAGCATAGATATATTTACAAGGAGATAAGCTAAAAAGGAATATTAATAGGGTAAGAGGAAGCTCAGATGGAGCATAAATGGTGGCGTTGACTAGTTCGCATAAGTCAGTGGAGCAGAAGTGGGCTATTTGGCTCATCAAGTCTGCTCTACCATTCAGTGAAAACATGGCTGATTTCCTAATCCTCAGATCTACTTTCCTGCTGTTTTCCATATTTTTTGTTTCCTTAACTGCCTAAAGATTTGTCCGTCTCAGCTGTAAATTTATGTAATGACTGAGCCTCAGCAGCCCTTTATGATAAAGAATTGCACAGATTCTCTGCTCTCTGAGAGAAGAACTTCCTCCTTGATTCTGTTTTAAATGTGAAATCCCTTAATCTGAGATTATGTCCCCTGGTCCAAGACACTCTCACAAGGGGAAACAACCACTCTGCATCTA